ATAAAATATTCAATTACCAGCTGCCAAAAATTTAATTGTTTTACAAATAACATTCTATAAATTTTTGAGGTAAGTCAAAATATATATTTATTTTATACAGGAGACGAGTTAAAAATTAAACACCTGGCAACATTGGCGCAAAATTCCCGAATCAATACGGGGTCTCACACGGTTTGTATCGCGCAATTCTGAATTTTGACATTTCTATTGCCGAAGAAACAGCAAAAATATGAGAAAACTTCCAAGAAAATTACTTAATTTTTGTATATTTATCTTAATTTTGAAGATATTTAAAAACCGCGTAAAATAATTCAATTTTTGTGATATTTTAAATAAAATGCCGCGTAAAAAATATCTCAGGAACTTTTACTAATTCGATAAATATTATATGTATTATCGCAAAAATATTAAAATATAGTATTACTGTGTTAAATATATTTAATGTTTGATGCCCATAACAAGAGAAAAAAACAAATAAACTGTCTGTCACGCGCGCTTGCCTAAAAAGTCACATTTCTAAAATATGTAAAAATATACGTTATTCAAATGATTAGATTTTATTTTTAAGATGTCTTGAAAGAGAATCGAACTTTGAAATAGTTTCTCGAAAAATTTGGATGTGTTTCGATCAAAAAGAGCGCCCAAAGTTAATATTTGCTTACAGTCACGCCTAGGTTAAAAAAACTCAAAATATTATGTCCTTCTAATAGAAAAACTATTACAATATTACAGATAGAGCAGAGAAAATATTAAATATATTTAAATTTGAGTGATAAAAACAAATAAATCTAGAGTAAGAGCAGGCGCACTTGCTAGAAGCCATGTTTCCCAAAAATTGACAAATTTACGCTATTTGCACGTTTAAAATTTATTTTTAAAGCGTGTTCCAAGACAATCTGAAATGATTCCTACCGCAAAATACTGCTTTTAGAAAAAAAAGGGTTTGTTTATATTCAGTGATGCGCGCAATAGTTTTTTTTTCGTTTGCAGTCAAGCCTAGGTTAAAAAAACTTAATTAATTATAATACAGGTACTTCTTATAATTAAACACAGGTACTTCTAATAGAAAAATCCAGTAAAATAAGCACAAGAAATATTTATTTTTATAATATTCCATTTTAAGATAAAGAAAACATTAAATGTGTACGGAAAGAAATAAATAGACCTATATCGAGAGCAAGCGCACTTGCTAGGAGCCATATTTCAGAAAAAAATGTCAAATTTACGTTATTTCAACGATTAAAATTTATTTTGGGATGTTTTAAAAGAAAATTCTAGTTCTCAGATATCCGGGAAATCGTGTTTTCCAAAAAATTGGGTTTGTTTTCATTCAAAGTCGCGCGCAAAGGTTTTATTCGTTTTCAGTCACGCCTATGTTAAAAAAACTTAAAATACCGGTACTTCTAATAGAAAAATCCAGTAAAATAAGCACAAGAATTATTTATTTTTACAATATTCCATTTGAAGACAAGAAAACATTAAATGTTTTGGGGAAAAAATAAATAGACCTATAGCAAGAGCAAGCGCACTTGCGAGGAACCATATTTCAGAAAAAAATGTCAAATTTGCGTTATTTCAAGGATTAGAATTTATTTTGTGATGTTTTAATAGAAAATTCAAGTTCTTAGATATCCGGGAAATCGTGTTCTTCAAAAAATTAGGTTTGTTTTCATTCAAAGACGCGCGCAAAGACTTTATTCGTTTTCAGTCACGCCTAGGTTAAGAAAACTCAAAGCAAAGGTACTTACTAATAGAAAAACTCCGTGGAGTAAGCACAAGGAAGATTTACTGTTCCTATATTCCAGATAAAGCAGAAAAAACAACACTACAACACTTTCAAAAATCCAAATCACTGCGTTTAGATGAGGAACGACAACACGCGGTCCATTCCGTTTTTTTTGGAAAAACGAAAAATCCGTGCGCTGTTGTCGGACCCTTTTTTTCTCTACCCTCTATCCTCACCACTCTACTGTCACTCACAGAACACAATTTGACGACATTTCGGTTCTGATCTGGACCCGCGTCGCATCGATACTACGGGCACGATGAGGTTTTACGCGCATTCGGGAATCGCTGCCGGCCGCGTTGCCAGATTGGCCGCCGCCGGCCGAGGAGGTGAGATCAAAAAGATGTAAAGCCGGCGATGCACGCGTTTGTTTTGATTCGGTTCGTGGGTGATGCGACGGTGAGAACAAGGCGCTTTAACTACTGTACGATTAAAAAGATGAGGCGCGGATGTATTGCCGATTAGATAGATGCTGCTACCTTGCTTTACGTATGTTGAAGATTAAAAGCAGTCCGCCAGTTATTGTTTAATTCTTCTGTGTGCTAGGGTAGGTTCTGTTTATATAGCAATCGATACAATTTAACCAATTTTTTTACAGAAACACGTCCAAGTGATCGTATTTGAAAACTTTTGATGAGTTTCTATGAAATGAAATACTATTGTTTATCTATTGATGTCCACCAGGGCAGGGACAGGTGAAAATAATTCATAGTAGAACATTCGCAAAAATTCACGACAGACCCTGTTAATCACCGCGACCTTACTATTGTTTGTTCCCCTTCCTTGAGTTATAACGAGTTATAACTCATCATACAGTCTCAGGGCTTTAACAAAAGCCAGTATCTGAGACGGTTCCACAGGGGCCAGTTCTCCATCCTCGACATCAGCTGTACCAAAGTTCATGGCACGAACGGTCGTCGTCTCGGCAAGGAATCACAGAAGCACAGAATCTGCATTCACTGTTGTTCCTCAGCTTCAACTTCGTTGAGGAGACAGTGTTCTCATAGAAATCCTGTGACAATCCGATTATTGTTTTTACTTAAATTAACAAAAATCTTTGATTTTTCTCAGTCGTAAGTTCTGAGGAACTTTTTCGAATGTTTTAGACCGTTGGAGGACTCCTATTCCAGGTTACGGATGGAGTCTTCCGGGTTCCTCAGTTTTGCCTTTAATTGGTTTCCGCTTGGAAAACAGAACGGTTCTGGTCCAGTTAGTGGAGTGATCGCTCTTGGTGAGCAGACATCCAGAGTAGGAGAACTTGCGAGAGTCTGGCAAATGTGCGATTCTTTGTACTAGGCAATGATAGGCTATTGACAAAACTATAACTAACTATATGTAGAGTTCAAAGTGTTTAGACCTTTTGAAAAGAATAGGACTGGAAAATCTAACTGTAAAGATCAGAAGTCTGTAAAGATCACTGTCACTCCCATGATTGTAAGTCTTTCAATTGAGCGTTGGAACTTTTGGTGTTACAACAGCAAAATAAAACACTAATTTCACCACAATACACCAAACCATTTTACTTTTGCACTGGCCGCGCGTTTCGCTAACCATGTTAGTATCATTAGCATATGATTAAAACTAATGCCGGGTCCAGACCAAGCAGACAAAAAACGACAAAACAGAAACATTCATGTTTTACGACAAAATTGCGACAAATGCAATACATTTCTGCGACATTTTTGTCTCATTTTTGTTTTGTTTCAAAATTCGGAGACTTTTCAATGTCCCGTCTCGAGTCGGTAAAGATCAAAGTCTCTATGTTTTGTTCGTATATTTTACGACATGTTGTCGGCACAGTGTGATTGGCGTGAGCTGCCAACAGTAGAAACCCAGTGAAATCACACATGGTTACAGTACGTTTGTCCGTTCTGTAGCTACGGGGTATCCGTGAGAGGGGAAACGATATTCTCTCGATGTTTTTCGTACAGATTTACAGATTTTAGAGGGGCCCGGACCACCCTCTGTATACGCCACTGAGGCAATGATGAGGAGAGACAAAGAGCTACAAGTCTCCAAGTTATTAGATAACTGAATAAGTGGATTAGATCTGGAGCATATATCATAGATATCAGAAAATAACTATAAAAGATCTGTAAAGGTCACACTGGAGCAAGCCATCTGAAATGTTTAATCTAAATATAATGCTCAAATCTTTCGCAGAAAAAAAAACAAGACATAGGTATATGCGTATGCATTTGATGCTCTCCCATTATTTCTTCATTACATTAAATCATCATCCGAAACAAGCAAGGATAAGTTAATATACAAAATAGGCACTGCCGTTTTTTTAATAAACAATATCCCAAATTAGAGTTAAACTTAGTTCTCCGAATCAATTTCTTCTTAACGCGCGCCAAAAGCGAGCCCTTTTTAGGCATTCCCCTATAATACTCACCTTCTCCCAGTTCTGTTCGCCCGATACTCGAAGAGCCCTTTTCAGACTGCGCCCAAACGGCGGCCAATTACGTAACAAGGTAGGGGATGGAAGTCGCGTCGAGCCCTTTCGGTTGGATTCGTCACGAGACCCCGACTATTTCGGCTGACGTCGGAGGGACCGCTGTTTAAAGGGATTATCGAGCAGAGTTGCCAGATGCCATACAAGGTTCCCTAGTTTTAAGGATTAGGTAGTTTCGACCAGGGATCTGGGATAGGCAATATTTTTTTATAGAGACCCAGCTAAGAGATATTTTTGCATTTAGTTTTTAATGCTAATATAAATAGCATTACCTTTTTGAAACGTATTTTTGCAATCAAAATAAGTTTATTGGACAAAATTTACCTCTATACAAAAGTGCTTTTTTTATTAGCTGTAAAAAGCACAGCCAACACCTTGGTCAGATTTCGAGCCATCTGTGTAAAAACAAATATAGTCACGATATTTTTCGTCTAAAATTTGTATTAGACTAGTTTTGTAAAGATATCTGGACGTTTCAGATTTTTTTAATTTACAAAGTTCCATATTAACTGAAATAGGATCCTGCCATGGAGGGGGCGGTGTGTCGGAAAAAGTGGATACAGGGATATTAGGAATGTTTTGTTGGGAGGAAAATAGGTGGTATCTTATATTAATGGGGCGTGGGTATTTTGGATGAACGGTATACGTGAACTTGCCATAGTCAATCAAAAAAGGCTTTGACTTAATGGATATTCCATAATTAAGAGTATGGAGAATTCCCCTGTGAAGGGTATTATGAAATAAATATACTTCGTCTTGTGATTCACTATTTATTAATTTATTGTTTCAATCTAAGGTCTGGCCAAAATTTCTTCTATTTTTATTTTCTGTTCTCTTGTGAGTGTAATCATATCCTCGCACTTCGGCTGGCTTATAATAGCGCTACAGAACTCCCTGTGAATTCGCACCCCGTCCAAAGCCTTTGTCTGCAGCAGCTCGTGGTGTTTGATTTCTTTGACGAATTGGGCCCGTTGTTTAGCCCCAGCTTTTCTATACCTCTGACGGCATAAGACCCTGCTGAAATAAAAATTAAGTTACAAGAAATTCACAAACACTCGCAAAGTAGGACACACTGTTTCGTTTACATCTTCATCAGGGAAGGAGTTGATATGCAGGGTGGGCTCATCTTATTCGCCTCGGTTGATTATACAAAAACGGACAGATGTAGAAACAACATTTTTTAAAGGTATATGTGCTTAATTTAAAATTATTTTCAAATGTACAGGGTGTGTCAAAATGTCAGAGTGTGTATTTAAATATGCATACTATAATAAAAAAGTTTTTCAACACTCCGTACATTACTTTTAAGTCAGAGTTAATTTTTGTACTGACTTTGAAGCCAGAAAAATAAACTTTACTAAAAATTTTTATTGCTTTCTTAAATGTATACAGGGGTAACAAAAATTGCTGCTCAATTTTAAATATTTATTTTACATAAAAACTTCGTTATTTTAAATACAACATTATGTATTTTTTTAAATAAGTCGAAGCAGATTTAAATGCTCTTTCAAACTATATTAGGGTTTCTTATACCTATCTGGCTCAGATTTTGAATAAAAAGCGATTTTTCCATAAAATGGCAATCAAGATGACTGGTGTTGTCCTGGTAATTTGCTAGTGAGTCAGGTGAGTCAGGTGACAGTTAGTAACTATTTCCAAAATCGACATTAGTTAATGGACTTTATTTAAATTTATAACAGTTTACTTTTTATTTAATTTACCTACAACAATAGTTTAATAAGTAAGTATCTATTATTTCATCAAGAAAAACAATGGAGTAGTTCTTTGATTTATATTACGATGACTTATAGATATATTGGATTTTCTATAAAAGAACCAATTAAGGCAAATTCATTTTCTTCACTTCCAACGACTTTCAACGGTTTCTGCCTAATAAAATCTGCCTACAACTTCAACTACTTCAAATAATGAAGGTATTTTGAAAAAAGCAATTAAAAGATAAAAAACGCGGCTAAGACTATCAAAATGTTGATCTAATAACAGTTTGACGTTTATACTATTACGTGAAAAGCAACTTTTTTCCAAAGCCTACTATAACTTCACCGAATCATCGTTTCTTGTTCACTGTTATTAATATCTTAGTTATTACGTATTAATATATCTGGTATTATGGTATTCTGGTATTTCTTCGATTTTAAAATAAACTAACTGTTTCTATCTTATTTTTTGTTAGAATGGACAAGAGGGCTAGTGATACCGTATTGTAAAAATAAGGTAATTAAGGGCTTATTTTTTGGTATTTATTATAAATTTGCTAATATCTTCGGTTTGAAAGAAGATATCAAGATGCGGTTTTCGCTGACTTTTTAAGCTTTTACTACTCTTTGCTATCAGCTAAAATTACATATACTCTCGTATTTATTTTTTTTGAAAAAACGCGTTGGTTAAACGTAAGTTGTTGTTTGTTAAATTGTAAGAAAGCGCCCCCAAGCGTCTACGCTCAAAACCTTATTATTATTATTTTTATGGTATAATATAGAGTAAGAAACGCTCTTTTAGACGAGCCCTCGTTTGTTGGATTCTGATCATCCAGTCCGGAGTTATTAACATTTATATAAAGATAGATCTAACCTTCCCCCACCACTTTATTTTAGCAGATAGGGCAAATTGGTTCTAATAAAGAAAATCCAAAATTTACTGAAGATTATGAAGCTATTATTTATAGTACCCATTATCTAGGCAAAATTCTGTAAAAATTCTATTTTCTTATTTTCCATAGCAGTTGCACCCCCTAGCGGCCGTTTTACAAACTTGAAAATAATTTCCAGCAATTTCTCATAGCCTCTTTAGTTATAAATATTATTTTCCGTAAGCCCTACGGCTAATACTTTCCGAGATACAGCCGAGAGCTATTCTTGTGTGTGGGTGGGACACCCTGTACTTCTACTTACTATGGTAAATCCTTTAAATTAGCATAACTGGGATCTTGACTGTCTTTAGGCGTCAGCGCATATTCTTTGACGTCCACAAATTTCATTTCCTCAACTTTAATTTCTCCAGTTTCTTCTTCAAAGAACGATAGCTCTTTTGATACTTTTTCAACGTCGGATAAATCTATTTCATCTGTCTCGTCATTTTCTTCACCCTCAGTTTTTAAACCATCCAATTCTTCCTTTCGTTTTTCTTTATTTTCACCAGGATCAAGAACTTCTTCGCTCGATGGTACTGTATCGTTTCCTTTTTCAATTTCTTGCAAATCAGCCATTTCTATTTGTCAAATAAAAAATAATATACAAACTACAAAAATAACATGAATTTTGAGGTAAGTACAAAGGGTAAGTAGAAACAGTAGACAGTTTGTTGTGTTTCTATGACTACGAAATTTCTCCACAATCGATCAGCGCACCAAAAAAATATTAAAACGTTTGTCAAAAACGTTTTTTCATGTTTTTGTCCAAAGTTTTTGTACGAAACTTGAACGTTGATTTTCTTAAATATTTAAAAAGTTTTTTGGTATCAAAACAGAGAAAAAAATAGATTGAAGTCCCGAGTTTTCTTAAAATAATTAAGAACAAATGAAGAAAATGTTGCCATATTTAAATTTTAAATCTGAAGAAAATTTGAAAAGGTTTTTATTCAGATTAGAAATTTTTTTATCTCAGATTGTCTGTATTTTTAATTTAAAGTATTAAAATAGAAACAGTCTAATTAACACAAAAACAAAAAGGTCTCTTTGTTCAACATTTCCAAAAATAAAATGTTTTGTTAGCATAAATATTTAGAAACTTTTTTCAGAATAATATTAAAGTTAAATTAATAGTCTCAGAATCAAAGGTTATTGATAATTTATCGATATATAGATGACAATCGAAATATTGATATATCGATAGTCGAGATATATCGAAATTTATTTTTGTGAATATATTTTTTTTATTTAGCTATTTAAAAACATGAATATTAGTTGAAGATTTTAAGATATATTTTATTTTCAGTTTTCCTAAAAATTTCATAAATCCATTTTTATACTAGATACATAAGATTAGGGATGGATTTTTTGCGATATAGTGATAGCTATCGATAATTATTAGTACGTGTGGCATGGGTGTAGTAACTTGGTGTAGTAAGGGACGAAATAAAAATTGATGATATCAAAATTATCGATATATCGATGTCTGTAGTTATCGATAAGAAAAAACTAATTTTTACGATTTATCCTTAACTATCGGTAATAATAAACTAAATTGATAACTATCGGTTATCCGATAACTAACAATTTATCGGGTTATTGAGAGCTGTCAATATATCTATAATTGTCGATATATCGATAATTATCAATATATCGCTAATAATCGACATATCGATAACTGAAATATATCGATAAGCGATTTGCGAAAAGTTATCGATAAGTAATATCCAGACGCCCATCCCTAGTCATTTTCAGCGCCGCGTCGAATAACTCGACACAGAATATAATAATCTCTACTATTTTATTTAATTTTCTTTATTTAAAAAAATTAAAATTAAATAAAATTATTATATTTTATTTAATTATTTTTTATTTAAAAATAAAATAATAAAAATGGACCTGGACACATTTATTTATTTCATAATTTTAAGTAAGATTCAAGTTATGAATAAGATAAGTTATTCCTAATAAAAATAAACTATTAATCAAAAATTGACTGAACAATATTGTTAAGCATGTAAGCATGTTGTTAGTCCAATACTTAAGGAAGGTACACTTAATGTTACTTTAATCTGTTACATCCTTTTAACAGAGCACATTAAATAATCCAATAAATTACAGAATCAATAAAAATTAAAACCTTTTTTAATCTCCTTTTTTTTCTTGCGTGTCTTGGCGCCACTGTATCTTATTACCAAGATGACAAACGCCTCTAGTGTCAGCCACTCTAAACCTTTTATCTCCTTAGAAAGCTTAAAACTAACGAAAATGTCTTTAAATTATTCCGCCGATGCCTTTCTCTGCTTTTTATGTTTTAATCGCCCCTAATCCTAGGCCTGTGCCTTATGGAAATTAGGCAGAAATACCTTTTTAGATGCCCGTAAGATAGTCCAATAACTTTAAGAATTTTTCAACAAAACAAATTTAATTGAAACTTTTTACGCAGTTTGTTTCTATTTAACAATTCAATTGACCGTGAATTTCTATAAGAATTGTCATCCATCATTAGATTTTATGTTGTTTACAATTTTGCGCTCGTAATTTGCGCTTTTACATGAAATTTGCAGAGTATTAAATTCTCTAAAATGTTCCAACTGCTTATTTTGAAATGAAACGTACACTATCGGACAAAAGTAGAGAAACTTTTTAAAATAATTGTGTCTTTTTTGTTAACGCAGTGAGGCCATTTTATGCATTGTTAAAATTAAAGATACTTAAATAGTTCTTATTTAAATGAAATAATCACATATCTCACGAAAACTTAAGATTTTATTCAGTTAAATAAAAAAATTTAGGGATAAAAGTGAAACTAAAAATTAATATAAAAATTACATAGTTATTATAACCTAATAAAATGAATAATGGGTAGTGTAACCGTGATTAGCTATAACTTCACGACATCGCTTCGGCATGGAGTCCAATAGTTTCCTTATGGTATCTGGTTCAATGGAATTCCAGGCCTCTTTCAAAATTCTTATAAAATCTTTCTTATTGCTAATGTGACTGTGTCTTACCCGGCGATCTAGTTCCTCCCACAGGTTTTCAATGGGTTAAGGTCTGGACTTTGGGCAGGAAAATCCATAACCTTAATTTGTTCAGACAAAAACCATTCTTGTAAGACTTTCGATTTATGCTTTGGATCATTATCTTGCTGAAATATCCAGGTTAAAGACAAATTATAATCAGCAAACGGAATCATCGCTTTCTTTAAGATGTCCAAATACATAAATCGATCCATTGTTCCTTCTATTACATGCAATGGTCCCATGTCATAGCCCGAGAAGCATCCCCACACCATGCAAGATCCACCACCATGCTTTACAGTGGCCTTGGTATACTTTGGATCAAATCTTTTCCCTTCTGGGCGATGCGATGTATCCACGATATGCTATCGGATCCAAATAATAGATATATTGCATTTGCTTTCCTCTGAAAATATGATCATTCATTCGTCGACAAGTGCAAATATTTTTTTTGCAAAGGTAAGTCGGGCTTTCTGTTTTTTCTTACCGATGAGTGGTTGTTTGGCTGCTCTTCTACTAAATAATCCTTCTTCCCTTAGCCTTCTTTGGATGGTCTTACAGCTTATATTGACAACAGGTAGTTCACTCAAAGTTTGATTTGCCAATTTATGCGGATTTTTTAATTATCTTTTCAAATTTTTTTCGTTTTTTTTCCTTGGCCGACCACTTTTTTTATTAGTCTTTAAGGAATTGCAAGTTTTAAAATTGGAAATCGTTTTGCTAATTACACACTTATGCAAACTAAACATTGCGCTTATGTCCATTTGCCGTACACCATTCCGATGGGCGTTGATTATTTTTTCGCGAAGATCCTCAGACAAATATTTTTCGCGTGGCATATTTAGTAAAAATGTAAATCAGAGTATCAACAGTTTTCACCATAAACAAATAATTACTAAGTATGGTGAATTTTTGTGTTGGTTTCTTTATTTATGTCCCTTCAAAAATATTTGTCCATATTATAAAAATAAACACCTGATAAGATAAATTTGGAATGTGGCGAAAAATTATGGTATTTCTAAAAGGAAATATATGTTTAAACCAAACATTATTTTAAATATTGGAGGTTTTTGATTATATTATTACAACGAATTCAATCTATGAAAAACCTGTGTCTAAACTTATTGGACTAAAGATACAAAAAATCCTCTACTCACAGGTATAAATATTATTGTGTTACTTGATGTGGGTGGAGAATCAATAGAAATATTTCGAAACCTAAAAGCGATCGCTGAAGAATAGTTTCAATAATGAATGAGGAATATTACCAAGAATACATTTGGATTTATTGAATTCCAGTATGTCTCAAAAGAAATATGATATTTGTTAACAGTATTAATGATAAACTAGCCGTTATAGATAGTTCTAGCCTTTCAGAAATTTTGTAATTAAAGAATTTGCTATTAAATTTTATATTCTTAAATTCCATTTCTGTTTGTACAATAGTTTGTAACTTTAGCAAAAAAAATTGTGTATTTCACTGTATGGTTTGTTGACATTTATTTGGAAAGATTGGATATTGGAAACACATTGGATATTTGTAATTTCTGATAAAGTATTTATATCTACTGATCTACTATAGGAATGTATTGTTTTTACCTACAGGGGCTCACCAAATTTTAAATTCACTAAAAAGTGGTCAAATGTTTTAATTAAGCGTTATTTTATTGCTTCAAAACAATCCTCTATAGGTATTTAGCCACTGCACTGCAAGAAAATCTACAAAATAAAATAGTTATTTTTTGTAAACACTTCTGGCGTTAAACCTAAACGGACACTGCTTGTCAGAATTATGTTTACAGTTATACAAATTTGCCTAACAAAGAAAAAAATGCTTAACGTTTCGGAAAGTTTATCCTTTTCCGTCGCCGTCGGAAGAAGAAGAATATGAAAATATTTCATAATATGTTGAGTTTTTTTAAAAGGACACTGTCTCCTCAATGAATACCTCAGTAGATTCAAGTTAAAGGACAATGGCGAATACAGACTCTGTGGGGAAAATGGGAAAACACAAGAACACCTCATCACTAAGTGCGCCGAGAAGACTTTGATACATATAGATAAAAAAACTTATAATCTTTGGTACGCTGATACTTTTTTTTACTTACCTGCATGCCTTTTTTGTTTAGTGACTTTGATATTGCAAATATACGAGACGCTCTAAAGTAATTAATTGTCATTTGTCATTGAATTACTGACAACACTTTACGTCAGGCATGTTCGCAAATGCTCATCAAGGTGGATTTATATCAATATTCTTTAGCGTTGGTAGCAATCCTTTAGCATTATGGGATAAACAGGTACAAAGACAAACTTCCTAATCATTGTTTTTTTAAAAATACCAAAACAAAATCTACCATTGCGATATTTAATTGAATTTTAGTTTGAAACCCACATATACACTACAGAATTTTTTGCTCAATTTTTCAGGTAAAAAATGGTCACATTCGAAGAATAATAGACGATGAAGTTAAATCTTTGGTTTTGGATATTGGAGGTACCAATGTAGCAACAACTTACATAACATGCCCTATAAAGCCAAGGGCATCTTTGGGCGTTAAATTACCTTACCTAGTCATGATTATCAAGAACATGAAAAAATATTTTTCGTTTGAAATACAGATTTTGGGTAAGTCGTAATTTTTAAAGAAATACAACCCAGTGGCTTTATACAGAATTATAATCTCCTTCAAGTTTTACCTCTTTAGTTAACTTATGTTATTGGATAGCAATAGGTTTTACATTTCCGCAGAGAAATTTTTATAATTTTGTGTTTATTTTTTTATAAGTGGCTTCAGCTAAAAAAATCCACCCCTCTTTTGTAAATTAATATGATTTCTTCAATTATTCATTATTCAGTTCAATCAAACTACATGAAACATTTTAACTTCAATATTAATACTCAAAATCAATCACGATATTAAACGTTTATTTAAACATAATCAACCCTTGTGCGAAATCTTGAATAGGATCTGAATTTCGCTGATATATTAATCAAGCGAATGTCAGTTTTCGCTTATCAATCGCAAATGGAATTTCTACATTATCAATTTAGGTACACTTACTTCACAAGAGCGGTTGTTAATGCTGTTATTAATTTAGTATTCGTTTGAGCTATAATTAAAATCGCATATACCGGTTGATTTTCAAGAGTGGTTCACCCCTTATAACACTTATTTTTTTAAACAAAATTAAACGAGATTTGGTATGTTAAAATATGTCATAAATCAGAATCGATTGACATGGTATTATTTTATTTTATTCGATAGAAAATGACATTCCGAATTTAATATCATTCCATATGTATTTTAAATTAATCATAATTTTTCTTCGAAAAAATGATGATGACAGGTATTGATAATTTTGATTCAAAATATCTCAAGAACCCTTACTCGTAGCGATTTTTACCAAGAGACCTTATTTACGTAAAAATATCTTAAATGTATATTTTTACTCAGTAGTTTTTTACAAGGTACGGACGAAAAGTTATTACTCTTCAAACCAGTTACGAAATATATAGATAGCGCCCTCTACAAGTAGGAGTCATATTGACATCTAAATCAAATTTCTCATGTCAAAAAACTCCCAGACACCAATTTTAATCCAAATATTGACGTTAAATCAGAAATTATTTGGAAAAAATCAAAATAAAAATGAAACTTCTACACCCTGTATCTCCGAAACGAAGCATTTTAAGACATATATATTTATACGAACTTTTTACTTATTTTTATCTGCAGAATATGCTGCTGAAGTTTCCAGAATACAGTTTGGACCACCCTGTATATGTCAGTATCTTAACTGAATGTTTTGGAGTTAAAGAAATATGTTTATTTTTAAATAGACGTGTCATTTTACTGGGTTAACTTAATTCTCTGATATTTTGACTATTTTTTGTGCTATGATTTAGACATAGATGTATAATATTTATTATCACTATATAAATCTGTGTATTATACATTTAGATGATAAAGATATGAGACGAAGATTCAGGGTATCAAATTTCCAATCCACAACCAAGGTGAGACCCTTTTGCACGACAATGCCCATTGGTCTGAGTGCCGGTTGGAATCAAGTACAATTCAACTTGGCCGATTTCACTAAGAGAGCTTACGGATCGGTTTATATGGAGACGACAAGGGTACAAATACATGCCAACGTGAGGATTCGAAGGATATATTTCACCGATCAACTACACACAGACGATGAACTTCCTAATGAGTTTAAACTGTTCGCTCCTGGTCCTGGTACTAAAGGAAAGGAAAGGGAGGAAAGGAAATCTAAGGAGATAGGTACGAGACGATCTACAGTGTTAGCTTAGCATAGATTGCTGGGGTTTGGGATCCTGATCTCACTCAGATCCTTCCTCTCATTGTTTCTTTGCGTTAAAGCACTTCCAGCTCTTTGCAAAGCTACCTATGTCTCTGATGTTAGCTTCTGCTGCTTCCTCTAGACCCTCCAAAAAACCGTCCTCTAAAGTTTTAAAGCCTCGCTTTTCCTGTGCTGGTCAGTGGTACAGCAGATGATCTATGGTTTCTTCTTCTTCTCCGCATATTGCACATTCTCTGCAATAGTCGTCGTGCATTCCATCTCATGAGGGTTACTCCCCCCAAAGTTTCAAATGATGACATCTACAATTATGCGTACTAGAGGTTCTATTGTGTTCTAGTAGTTATATTCTGAGTCTTCGAGTTGTGGCGCATTCCTCACGGTGTTGCCACGTCTCTTGATGCTAGTGATGGTAGTTCCTATTAGCTTCCTTCAAAGTGTTGATCTTAACATGTGGTGGGTCATCTGCCACGACCTCTCCCCTGGCCTCCTCTTTAGCCAGACTGTCCGCTTCCTCGTTGACCACCACATTGCTGTGGCCTGGCACCCAGCACAGAGTGGTCTTGCCTTAACGCAGCCAGAACAGTGTTTCTTGGCAGTCCATCATATCAGAGTATATCACTATATCTTCTATTGGTCTATCAGCAAATTTCCTTCGTATAAAACTGGTCCTTTATAGAGTAAACCTCTGCTTGTAGATTACAGCCATCCGATAGCCTTAAAGATCGTCATCGGATGTCTAGTTCCTCTGAGGAGATGCCTATACCTACACCTGTGCCTCCTGAAGTCATGGAAGCATCTGTGTAGGCTATCTCTTGAGTGTTCATTACTAGGTTGCTTTCCCATTCTTCTCTTGTCGGGATGCGAATCTTTATCTTTTCTCCAAAATCATGTTTGGTGAGCATATAGTCCGTTTCCTGGTCTAGCAGATATGGACTCGTGTTCCCCATGATTTTCCCTACCATTGGCAATATCCTCGAGTGACCGTAGTTGGTCTGGTTCCACAGATTGAAATCCCTTAATTTTAGGGCATCCTTAGCGGTCAGATCTTTCACGAGTTTGTCGATTGATTGCAAGTCCAGAATTACTGCTTGCGTTGTGCTGTTACTTGCTCCAGTTGTACTGCTCGATCTACAATATTCCAAAACAGCTGTTATTTGTTAAAGAAAAACAAAAAATATATTTGATGCCGGAAAATTCGTATCCTTATACCGGGTGCGTCTCAAAAGTGGCTCACCCCTATAACTTTTTTTATTTTTTCAGATAAAACAATATGTTAGTGTGTGACATAAATTAGGATTGATTGACAAATTCAATCGTTTTATGTCACTTCCGGTTTCACCGGAAATGATTACAAATTTTGATTTTTTACCCTTATACTTATATTTTTTTTTTACTTTATTCGATAGAAAATGTCAGTCTGAATAGAATGACATATCATATGTCAACTTTTGACATTTTTACATATGGTTTATTTGAAATTGTAACATGCGGATCATAGCGACAATTTGACTGGAAATATTAAGTGTGTGGTATCAAATTATTCGTAAAAAATGCTTTTTCCAAAAATGGTAATGAGCCACTCTAGTTCCATTTGAAACAATTATGTTATGATTAAAAATACGATTTGGGCATCTTTTAACCGGCCAGGACAAGACACTAAAAACATTAGACGATCAAATCTATTTTTCCAAGGCTCCGTGATTAATTTAACAGTCATGGCACTCTATTTTAATTTTCAATCTTTTTTTTGTTTTAAGCGAATATGTTTTGTTTTTGAGCGAATATGTCAAAAGTTGACATATGATATGTTATTCGATTCAGAGTGTCATTTTCTATCGAATTAAGTAAAAAAATACCGAAGGTGCCATTTAAAAATCAAAAGTTGTAGTCATTTCCGGTGAGACAGAAAGCGACCCAAAACAACTGAATACGTCAATCAATCCTAATTTATGTCATATACTAACATACCAAATCTCATTTTAAATGAGAAAGTTATAGGGGTGAGCCACTTTTCAGACGCACCCGGTATATAATATGAAACCGCGTTTTTACATCTCAAAATTCGACCAATAGACACATTTTTAGCCAAACAGAAAGCCAAAACTAAACTCAAAGTAAAACATTACCTGAAGCAATAAAAATCTCATACTAGTCCGACTTTATCTGTACCACTGTAAAATGACATTAACATACCCTGTATATTAAGACTCTATCGGTGTTATTTTAAAAAGACGCGCTGTATAGCAACACTAAATTTCAGCACCAGAGGATGTTCCAGCAATCAAAATCGAGAAAAAGGACGAAGAAGAAGAAAGTCCTCCGCCTCCAACTCCGACTGAGGAATTTCCAGTTCCAAAGGAAGCGTTACAAGTTGACCAAAGTCTAGTTGATACAGAATTGGAACCACTGCCCGAAGGTACTATCCGTTATTAATTGTATTCTGTCTCTGTATTTTTGTCTCAAAATTTGTTACAGGCGAAGGAGAAGCCGTTCCTGGAGAAGAACAACCAAAAGTTGAAGGTGAAGAAGCGGTGGAAGGCGGTGCAGCACCTCCTACTGAAGGTACTGATGAAACTCAACCAGCTGAGGGCGAAGAAATAAAAACTGAAGATGTAGGTCAAGGTAGGTGTTTTGCCCACATATAACAGGGATTATTGAAATATTTGTAACTTTCTATGTTGCTGAGAAGGTAGGTATAGGGTCCGGCAATAGTGCGTCGGACATCTGTAGCTCCTATAGAATTAAAAACTTGAGAATTTTGTTTTAGTGCAAACCTAAAGTAAGTTCTAAGATATATTTCAGGAAAATATTTTAACTTCTATAGGGTGGCTCAAAAAAGTGTGAGTGGATCGGTATGATTTTTTTAATGGAACACTCTGTATATTATTGCATTTTTTGCTTCCTCTCAGATCACTTTACATAATCCTAAGATATGAGTAGATATATTTCGATAGTTTCAGAGATATTAATAAATAAATAAAAAATATATATTTTTCAGCCTTTTAAAAAAAATATTAAAAATACAAGCTTCAAAGCTGTCCTGAAATCAAAACTATATTAGATATTTACTTTAGTTGATATGCACTTATTTTGTTATAAATATGGCAATCTTAAATCATACAGGATGCTCAAAATTCTACACCAAACTTTTTAAAATGTTCTTTTTTTCGTTTTTTCGTTCAAATGGAACACCTTGTATATTTTTTTTTCAATAGATGGAGAATTAAAAAATGAACACTTTTTGCCTTTAGAGTATTTAAAAAATTTTAACGGTTTGTTTTAATTTTGTTTTATTCGACCAAAGTACTGAATTTAGAATTCGGATACATTTCTGTCCTTGTTGTGTTCTAAGTTGAATGTCCCTGTTAGATGTCCCTTCTTGGATATTATAGTTCCTAAATATTTGTATTCTTCACATTGTTTTATATTGCTGAGTTCTAACTTCCGGTCTACTTCGTCTGCCATTTTTAGATGTTCTGTTTTTGTCATGTTTATTTTCAATCCCCATTCTGCGTACTCTTTCAATTTTCTGAGCATAGTCAATATATCTTCCTCATCATTAGCTTCTATAACCTGATCAACGGCGAACAACAAGGTTGTCAAGCAATGATTACCAATCTGTATCCGCATTCCTGAGCACTTACGTCTCCAGTCTCCATACATTCAGAGCTTCCTTGATATAGATTTTAAACAAAGTGGGTGACAAGCAACAACCCTGTTAAATTCTTTTCGAGATATTGAAGGGTGCTGATATATTTTTGCCAATTTTTTCTACTTTGTTTAGGCCGATTTGTTTGTATTATCAATAATCAATAACTTTTCGGTTAAAGAAGGTGAAGGCCAACCTCCAACTGATGCTGAAGCGCCAATTGAAGGTGAGGGTGAAACGGCTGCTACAGAAGAAACAGCAACTACTGGAGAAGCTCCAACCGAGGAAACGGGTGAAGGTGACATCAAAACAGAAGAAGCACCTCCTGAGGGAGTCGAAGAAAGCCCAGAAGACAAACCCGATGTTGACGAGAATGTCACGGGTAAGCAAAAAAATAAGTAATAAAAGAAAAACACGAAACATAATTAAATTCTAAACTAACATTTTAGCTGAAGCTGAAAATGCAGGAACTGATAATGAAACAACTGAAGTCACTGAAGAAATTAAGACTGAGGTGACTGAAGAAGTTACTGATACAGAACCTGCTTCTGATGCGCCAGCTGAGGAGGTTCCTGAATGAGATGCCTGATAATGCACGTGTACATATTTATTACTTAAAATAAAATTTTGACTCTGATATATAATTTACAAAATGATTTACCCAAGATTTACCTTGTCTTTTAAAAACTACTTGGGCAACCTTTTTTAAAGGTGTATTATAGGCAACCAATTATACATCATTTAGAGTATTTATTTCTCAATCCAAATATCATCATTCAGCCAGATTCAGCCTTATTTTAAATTTATTAATTAATAAACTCTTCAAATATTTCTTAGGAAGTTTTATTTAATGTATTTTTTATCACTTTAAGCCTTCTTTAAACAGACATATTAGTTCAAAAACTATTGGGAAATTTGATTTGCCTCCACCACCATATGACATTTATTTATTATTTATTTTTGACAGCCACCTGTTAAAATCTAAAAATCTCTTTAATTTTTAATTTTCTTTTTCAGATTAATAATAAATAAACAATAAAACAATGTAAAATCGATTAATCTTTCATTATATTTCCAAATTTATATAGTTTTAGGAGAGTAGTTTAGAAACATGAGTGGGTAAGGATATTAAAATTTGCCATGCCATAACACTTTATTAAGTAAAAAAATATGTGAAGGGACCAGACACACCTGATGGCGAGACAACAGTCTACGCTTACACAACAATGGTTAGACACTTTAAATACACTTCAAAACAATCAACTGAGTCAAACCCAAAGGTCTTCAGTTCCTAATGTATATGCTGCTCAACAAACCTTGATTAACCGACAGAAGTATTTATTAAGGTATGCATTTAACACACTTTTTTATTATAGCTAAAGCAAACTAGGTAATATTTGTTATAAATATTTTATAGGGATTCATCATTTCATTCTGACGATAGTCACTGTAGTAGCGTTGAATCTGTTCTGGAATTGAGAAAACCTGATCCAGAAGAGGTGCTGTTAGGTTTAGGTTTTGGACCAAGAGGAAATTCAGGTGTAATTAACAAAATTCCAAGTAGATTTCTACAACCTTCGAAGGTACTGAGTGTTTTATATTTTTGAATTGAACTTTTAAATCTAACTGTTAACTTAATTGTTACTTTTAAAGCTCATTCCACAAATCGACATCAACAAATTTATGGAACAGTATGGAGCAAACCTGCCTGAGTAATCACGGTAAGGAGCTATAAATGCAACGAAAATTTTTTTTTTAATTTCTAGATCTGTTCCGCCCTCGCCTGCTAAAAAAAGACCCAAGTCATGTTAAATCTTAAACTTTATACGTATCAAGGAGACCACATGTTGCTCAATGTCCTGTACAGTATTTACTTTCCATGTTCCTGGTATTTGTCATATTACTCCTCTCTTGCCAGGGTATAGTTACTTTTGTAAACTTTATCTAGTTGAAGATCCTAAAGACTATTTAATATATTAATATAGTTACTTATACCTATAGTCCGTCCTCCAAGAGAATACCTATATTCATTTGCAGGACAGACTTTGTCTATACCAGCTCTATGCTTAAAAATACATTTTATTAAGAATATAAAGTTCCACTTACATAATATTTCCAATCAAAATTAATACATTCCTTCAATTTGAGACTTACAATTACTATAGCAAAATTATATTTTATAAAATATTTTTCTATTTAATATATCCACAACATATCATTCAAAGATATTTAAACTATATCATTACATTCCAATTTGAGGTTTTAATAGTTAATTAATTTAAGACACTCCATTAAATAGTTATAGATATTATTAATTGGATTAACTACTAGGGATCAAGGGTCCAAGCAAAAGTTGCTAAAACTTTGGGAATGTAAGGGTTAAAAATATAGATAAATTATTATTTCACGCAAATGTTTATTTAAATAGATAATATCCTACACTGTATGATAAAAGTTTATAATGAATTACATAAATGGAAGAATGGTCCAAGCTAACATTTTTTCTCAAATTTATGCTAATACCTAATAAATAGTGAGGATATTGTTGAAACATTCCTATGTTGATAATTATATTTCTTTTAATGTAATATATATTTCTCTGATTGTATAATTTGCTATGTATTGAGTTGGAATTTCTAAGCAAAGAATGTTGTATATTTTGTGATGATTTTATTTATAGGATTAAAAATATTTAAATTTATATATTGTTAACCCATATACAATTATTAAACTATTTTTGTAAAATGTTTGCCAGCTATATTTTATGATTTTTCAATAAAAATAATTTTATTAATAGAACTTTATTTATATCCCACAAGATACACATTTTTTTTTAATTATTAAAATTACACTAATAGATAAACAAATCTATAAAGTACCTATTGATTGAACCTATAAACAAATCTTGAAATTAATTATGTTCGAAAGGATACCTCCCTTGCTACACATAAATAATTTTCTTGTGATAAAAACCGTTTCAAAACATATTCTTAAAAAATATTTCGGGATTTAAAATCCGTGCACCAATTTTTTACAATCACATGACCGGCAATAGAACTGAATAGACCAATCCGTTTTGCGAAAAATTTGACATTGCCAAAATGACGCCAAACGCCAACAAAATTTTGACATTTCTGTTTGGTTAGGCACGATTGAAAGTCGAGAAAACGATATAAAAATTATAATTTCAGCCGGTTTTCATCTACAAAGAATTGTCTTAATGATACATCACTAACAGAAAAAAATTAATATGGAACCACAACAGTTAAATATGTTTATAACGCACGTGGACAAGGAAGGTCCCTTTCTAAAAGTGTGGGGGCAAACGGACAAAAACAATGCACTTTATATAGAACGTTTTCTTATTGGTGCCTCGCAGCAATTTGAGCAAGGCATCGGCAAAATACCGTTCGAAAATTTACAGGTCAACACTTTGGTATGTGCGAAATATAAAGACAACAAGTATTACAGGTAATTTAATTTATCCATGCTATTTTACTTGTAGAAGCTTAATATTTTTATATTTATTAAAGTATTCGGGATTTATGGCAATAATAATCATTAATGTTTGTCTAATTATTGTATTTTAGAGCCAGAATAGTTAGTATTGACTACTTAAATGATTGCTTCGTTGAAGTCAGCTTCGTAGATTTTGGTAACAAGGATATAGTTCCCAGTGACAACATCAGAAGTCTGCAGAACTTTCCCACATCTTTTATTTCTATTCCACCACAAGCAACAGGTTTTATTTTTGGAGAAGCACACTGTCCAGGTATAATTTATATACTAGATTATTATGACTAATATAATTTAAATTGTTCAAGGTTTGATTGCGGCTTAATTTAATGTACTGATGAACATAAAAATTAAATAATCAGCCAAGCAGAACAGTTTTGTTTATAACCAAAAATTAGCTTTAAAAATAATTTGAGATTTGACAGAATTTAGTTTTATAGAAAATAATTATTACATGTAAAACATTAATTCATTTCAGGTGGTGGCGAATGGAAAGACCATTTATTCGAGGTAATTTCCAAAGATCTTAGTTATAGAGATGTGCAGTGCCAGTTGATCACTCAAGCTACCCAATATTATTTAGTTAAACTCTTTATTGGAAATTCTGACATAGGTATAAACAATGAAATTTATTTTTTAATAATATATTTCTAGTCTTATGGCTGTTTTGCAGGTTCCCTTTTGATAAGTAGAGGTCTGTTACAGCCAATTCCTTTGCATGCTCAGCAGGCTGTATTGTTAAGCATGAGTTTGCAACAGACTACTGCTACAATATCGACTCCAGCTCCAACAGAAATAAACAGTTATAAAGGTAAGTTTTAAGATTATAATTCTACTTTCCATTCTAAAACATAGACAGTACCATAGATAATGAATATTTATTATTATTAAACAATATAATCTAATATTTACAGCTTCAACACTCGAACCGAAGAAGGAATATGCAGTATATGTATCCTTTGTCAATGAAGGCCCTACATTGTTTTCTGTACAGTTACAACAGTCCGAGGATAATTTGGCGAAATTAATGAAAGAAATTAACATGATAAATTTGAGGATGTTAGAAGATCTGCCACTTCCTGGAACCATTTGTTTAGCCAGATGCATGGAAGATGGAAATGTTTGTCGAGCTGTGGTTACCAATGAAGTTGATAACCTATTTAAAGTAAACATTTTATCATATTTATTTGTAATATCTACATTTGCATAATTTTTTTAGGTGTTTTATGTAGATTTTGGTAACTATGAAACACTACCTTTGGAAGCACTATATCAAATACCTTTTAAGTATGTCCTCCCAAAAGTAATGGCTATACGACTCAGTTTAAACGGAGTTGAAAAATCAACTGTCACGATGGAGATGCTATTAGCCTTTAAAAAATTTGTTGATAACAGATTGCTCCATATGATGGTTCTTCCTTCCACAAAGAAAACAACCATACCCAAGTGTGACTTATGGGATCCGCAGACTAAAACCAGTGCTTTGGATGTCATTAATCGGTAAAATGGTAGTATGAGTATTTTAATTTTGAATTGAATCTTTCTTTTTAGAGCTGCACTGCATGCCTACCCTGAGCCACTTTTGTTGAATAGGGGATTTACACAGTTAGTGAAAGTTAGTTATGTATTTAGTTGTAACAGATTCTATGTTCAGCTAGTTGCCAAGGTAAGATTTTCAATTTTATATTGTGTAAAAGTTTTATAATCAAGTGTATTGAGAACAAAACATGTTCAATGCTATGTATTCTAATATTCAACATTTGTCTTTTTTTTTGTCTGCAAAATTAAAAAATATAATTTTCTAAACGACTTAGTACATATAAGTACAGGGTGTCCCATTTTAGTTGAAATCATACAGTATCTCCGTTATTAGTAGTTATTAGCTATTGTGAAAGGTATTGAGAAGGTAAAAACTAATTCTTGTAGAACTTTTCTTGTCTCACTGTTAACTGACTATAACTTTTTTTATTTTTGTAGATAGAGCATTCATTAAAAAGCAGTTAATAGGGTTATTAGTCAAGTTTTAGATATCAAAAATGTCTTGCATTGTAAAATATCACAGATATTGGTTTAAACACTGGTATAAATTATACAGGGTGGTCCGAACTGTATTCCGGAAACTTGGGCAGTATATTCTGCAGATAAAAATAAGTCAAAAAGTTTGTATAAATGTATGTCCTAAAATGCTTAGTTGCGGAGATACAGGGTGTTGAAGTTTCATTTTTATTTCGATTTTTTTCAAATAATTTCTGAAGTAACGTCAATATTTGGATGAAAATTGGTGTCTGGGAGTTTTTTGACATGATAAATTTAATTTTGATGTCCACATGACTCCTACTTGTAGAGAGCGCCACCTACATATTTTTAACTGGTTTGAAGAGTTATAACTTTTTGTCCGTACCTGTATAAAACTGTTAAGTAAAAAAATATACATTTATAACGTTTTTTACGTAAAAAAAGTCTCTTGGAAAAAATCGCTATGAGTAATGGTTCTCGAGATATTTGGAATCGAAATTATCAATACCTGTCATCATTGACATAAATTAAACATGTTGACTAAATAGTTATTAGACTGAAATCATAAATTTGACATGTTTTTGTGCCAAAAGTTCAAACTGTGTATTAGAAATAAAAAGCATATACCTAATACACTTTGAGTACAGGGTGTCCCAATTATAAAAAAATAGACTGTATACCAATAACTGACATTTCTTACACATGACATTTTTGATATGTGCAACAAAACTTTAGTTAATTTTTGAAGGAAATTCCTATTGAGTCTTCTATACTAAATTTAGGAACAAGAATTGGCTAAAGTGATGGAAGATTTACAACTATCCTGTCAAAATAATGATAACATAGATCTGAAAGATGTAAAGCTAGGTCTGCCTTGTTGTGCATTGTTCCAAGCAGACCAGCTCTGGTATCGAAGTGAAATTGTCGATATTGTCGACAGGGAAAACGTGAAAGTACGGTATATTGATTATGGAAACGAAGAAATAGTACCAGTGATTCTGCTTAAGATGGTTGAAGGTGAATTGGTAAGTAGCTCCTTTTTTTATTTATTTTGATTATTGTAACTGGAATTATGGTAAATTCAAAAAGTTAAATTATTGTTTTACAGTATGCTAATAAAAAATGTTAATAAAATTAATAGATGATTGTTTATGATCGAAAAAAAATGGCGTCAAAGACTGCTGGGGAATAACAATCGATAATAGATAGATGGATAGTTTATTGATGCTATGATACAACAGTACTTGTACAAGTCAAACATAATATAATAATCAACTACATCTAAGTAGACTTAAATATACAGGGTGTCCCAGGTTGAGCATGCGTTAGAAATTTCTAGAGAACCACAATATCTAGATCGGAGATTTTTTGCACATCATTGTTTCACAACGAGATCTATCATATAATACTAAAAATATTTTCAATATGGCGGCACTTCCGGAACTACCGGAAGTTGACAGCAACTTTCTTATTTTAAATGGGTGTCCCATTTTTTATTACATAATTAAATTTTCTGTAACATTCTATGAATATTGATATTAAACGCTCTATACCTAACATTAACCGTTTTTGAGAAAAAAATATTTAAAATTTTTGGACTGTAGGTTTTCCGGAATGTTAGGTATAGAGCGTTTAATATCAAAATTCATAAAATTTTACAGAAAATTTAAGTATGTAATAAAAAATGGGGCATCCATCTAAAATAAGAAAGTTGCCGTCAACTTCCAGTATTTCCGGAAGTGCTGCCATATTGAAAATATTTTAAATTGATAGATTTTGTTATGGAAGAATGATGTACAAAAAATCTCCGATCTAGATATTGTACTTCTCTAGAAACTTCTAATGCACGTTCAACCTGGGACACCCTGTATAAACTAAGTAGACTTAAATATATCCGAAGTAATCCAAAGTAAAATGATAATTATTTTGAAAAGTCAATATCTAGACGTCATTTACTAAAAATTGACATAAAACTTGTCAAAAATCAACAATAACAATAGAAATATTAAAAAAAGATAGAATGTTTCCAGACATACAAATCTATTTCTAAAAAAATATTTTTTCTTAAGGCCAACTGGCAATAAGCTCCATTAAAAAAGAAAGAGTGCGGGCTAAGTAAATAACGTCTAGGGCTTGACGTCGCCGAAATCATCAGCGATTGTCATTCCCCAGCCGTCTTTGACGCCGTTTTTTTTTCGATCGTATCGTATATTTAGTATCCAAAGTAAAATTAAAAGAAAATGTAAAATTTAAAAATTTTGTATGAAAACCCTAGGTTTCAGGATTTCTTTCCTTTATAATCAATTTTTTTAGCTAACTGTGCTTAGACCACAAGCAATCGAGTGCTGTCTTACCGGCTATCAAAACATGGGCGCCGACGAAACTAGAGACAACCTATTGGAAGAACTAATCTTGGAGCAGTCGTTCACGATGAGAGTGAGCGAAATGTTGGGCAAGAAGGCACTGGTGGAGCTCATCAATCCGGCGAACTATAACGTGGCCTCTCTGCTCTTGGAAAAAATCGCTTCGGCCAAGAGTCAAGTGAGCCCCATTTTGTTACAGGCGGGCAACAAATTCGAACATAGAAAAGGCGATGCGGGAGATAATTTTAGAGAGCAGAGAAGACCGGCTAGGTAAGATTTTTCAGCATATGAAATCTTGTTTTTTTATTGCATTGTTTTTATAATTTATTATTCATTTTTATATGAGAAGAAATTATTAAAATTGAGAAACTATTAAATTGTCTTAAAATTACCTAAAGAATCACCTGAAATTTGGGTGCATGCTTAAATAGCACTTTGTATTTTAGTATTCTCATATACCGGGTGTATCTCAAAAGTGGCTCACGCCTATAATTTTTTTATTTTTTTTCAGATAAAAACGAGATTTGGTATGATAGTATATGACATAAATTAGGATTGATTGACGTATTCAATTGTTTTTGGTCACTTCCTGTTTCACCGGAAATTACTACAACTTTTGATTTTTAAATGACACCCTTGGTATTTTTTACTTTGTTCGCTAGAACAGCACACTCTCAATAGAATGACAGTATCATATGTTAACTTTTGACATTTTCGCATATGGTTTATTTGAAATAGTAACATGCAGATCATAACCGCAATTTGACTCAAAATCCCAAGTATGCGATACCAAATTAATTGTAAAAAATGCTTTTTCCAAATATGCTAATGAGCCACTCTTGTTCTATCTGAAAAACTTGAGATATGTACGATTTGGGTATCTTTTAACCGGCCAGAACAAGACACGAAAAACATTAAACAATCAAATCTATTCTTCCAAGGCTCCTTGGTTAAAAATTAGTGTTTTTAACACAGCCATTGCATTCTAGATTGAAAAAAAAAACCTAACCTAAGCCAAAATGTCAAAAGTTGACATATGATATTCTATTCAGAATGTCATTTTCTATCGAATAAAGTAAAAATATACCGGGGGTGTGTCATTTAAAAATAAAAAGTATTAGTCATTTCCGGTCGTGAAATAGGAAGTGACCAAAAAGAATTAAATACGTCAATCAATTCTAATTTATGTCATATACTGACATACCAAATCTCGTTTTATTAAGTGAAAAATAAAAAAGGTATAGGAGTGAGCCACTTTTGAGACGCACCTGGTATACCCTTGTTAGTGCTTAATTGTCAATAATATAATAAAAACAATTTACTAGCCATTTGAAATTTATGATAGCATTAAAATGAATAAATCTAAAAATAATAGACAATGGCTCTGGAATACAGTTGGTTTGTGAAAAACTTCTGCACACCACTATGAAAAACTTGACAGTTATAACGTTATATTGTTTATATTAGAGAGGATAAAGATTGGAAGAACAGAAACGACCGATCCGAGAGTAGAAATTCTGATAAATCAACTGAAAGACCTTGGAGATCTGAGAATAATTTTCGGTAAGCAGTCACATAAACGTCATATAATTTAATTTAAAACTTTAGGCCTTTGAGGCCTTTCTGTCCATTGAAAAATAACTTCTTTATTATTTCTGATTGAGAAAGTTAAACCCATTTATCCCTTTTTGTTTCCTAGCCTACTATAGTCTGTCTAATAAGTCAGGAAAGATTTTGACAGACGACTATTTACCTCCGAATTAAAATCTCATATACAAACATGGATCCTGTTGTTGGACAGACTATGGTAGAATTTTTAGTTAAACTTTATAAGTATAATATTTATCTTCTGTTAAGGAGAAGATAGAATGTTTGCGCTGACTTTTTTCGAAACTTAATGCTTTATATAACAAGGCAAAGAGAAATGTAGCCTGCCATTCAATATTTTTTGTAAACGCGTAATAACTGTTGATGTCTAACGCTGCAAAATCTATTAAAAAAAAGTTTATACTGTTGATTATTAAGGAAGAAAAGATCTTTTAAAAGAGCCCCGGTTTCTTTAATTCCATTAACCCAAACCAGAGTCATTCTTATTGAATAAAGAAGGATCGTCCCACTACTTTATTTTATATGATACAAAATACGCTATACCAAAAACATTTTCACGCGAATATTTTTGGAAAAAAATCCATTTTCTGATTGGCCGTAAGAAGGCCGACCACCCCCTAGCGGAAATTTTTCAAACTTGAGAATAATTTCCAGCGACTTATCTAGGCGTAGAATGTTAGAATTTTTTACCAAAGTCAAAAAAAAAATAGTTGAGATTCAACTGGCGCCCATTTTCTTCAGATACAGACATTAATAGGGCCAGTTTTTTAATATCATTTTCTTCTTTAATAAACAAATTCCTACTAGTTGTCTTTTCACTTCATCTTTTATTCTATTCTTCATGCAAGTCAATCATTATTAAATTGGAGACTGGCGAAGATGTAAGTGATGTGTTAGCAATAGTCTACTTTACTAATGATATGTCTTTTAATTCATCCTTGTAGACAGACTGAATCAAACGAAGATTCACCCGAGCAAGGATCTTGGAGACAAAACAAAGGTTTTAGGTGAGTTAAAAGTAACTTATAATCACTTTCAACGCCATATTGTTTTTCAAGTATTTCCTGAATTGGTCCATAAGTTTTCAGCTATTAATATTAAAACTATGTTTGTGTTTTTCTCTTCGTTCACATCAGACAAGGAAGCGCGAACTTTTTTTCAATAATGATGGTGATCAGTATACAGGGTGGTCCGAACTGTATTCCGGAAACTTCACAGCATATTCTGCAGATAAAAATAAGTAAAAAAGTTCGTATAAATGTATGTCCTAAAATGCTTAGTTTTGGAGATACAGGGTGTAGAATTTTCATTTTTATTTCGATTTTTTCCAAATAATTTCCTGAAGTAACGTCAATATTAGGATGAAAATTGGTGTCCGGGAGTTTTTTAACATGAGAAATGTGATTTTGATATCAATATGACTCCTACTTGTAGGGGGCGCCACCTACATATTTTTTAACAAGTTTGAAAAGCAATAACTTTTTGTCCGTACCTGTATAAAACTACTGAGTAAAAAAATAAACATTTACGACGTTTTTTACGTAAAAAAGGTATCTTGGTTAAAATCGCTACGAGCAATGGTTCTCGAGATATTTTGAATCTAAATTACCAATTCTTGTCATAATTGACATTTTTCAGGAATAACGAACGAAACGACCGAGGAGGAAATCGACCTGATTTTCAGAGGAAAACGAACATTAACGATAGGTTTAGTAAAAGCCGAAACGATAATAATAAAAACAACAATTGGAACAATAAAGAGCCTCGGACAGATGATTGGGAGAGCCCACATCAGGACAATGGGGATAATGCGGTCTCCACCGATCCCTGGGACGCTCCAGCTCCAACATCCAACAACTTTGAAGAGAGGAGGCCTAGAGAGAACAAATTCGGTCAAAATAAACGAAGGTATGTTTAAAAATATTATCAGGTTAGAAAATTTTAGATGTTATGACATAAATGATCATTATAACTTATACGGCATAGATAAAGCAAATAAATTTAGATTGGAATGCTCGGCTTCCCGCCAAAACGTTTAATTGTTTTGGGTCAAATACATTGTACTGGATCTGGCGCTGCTATAGCGGTTGCTAAGAACAACCGCAAACAAGAACAGAAAGAATTATCTCTTGTCAAAGTCAGAATCTTCAAAAATTATAAAAATTTTGCATTGAAAAAATACCGAGAAGTGTTTAAAGCGTCCATTTGAAAAGTAAGTATTGCTATCTTGTAAGTTTAATTTAAATTTTATTTACTCAAACCCCTGATAACTGTGAAAAAGTGGCATTAAAAAAACTTTAGCTGTGTGAACTGTGAACTGCAAAAACCATCCTAAAAAATGTCTATACGTGGCGGATTCATCTTTCTAAAAAAATCCTTTATGGATATTTCGCCACTGCACTGCAAGAAAATCTACAAAACAAAATAGTTATTTTTTGTAAACACTTCTGCGTTAAACCTAAACGTACACTGCTTGTCAGAAATTATGTTTACATTTATACAAATTTGTCTAACAAAGAAAAAATTCTTAACGTTTCGGAAAGTTTATCTCTTTCCGTCGTCGGAAGCCAAAAAAAAATACAAAGAATAAGAAAAAACGATTTAAAATATTTAAATTCAACTATTCGAAAACACTTTACTTTTTTAAAACAGATACGTCTACAAGAAACCGTTGACGTTCTGTTAAAAAAAATATTCTTTGTATTTTTTTGCTTCCGACGACGGAAAGAGATAAACTTTCCGAAACGTTAAGAATTTTTTTCTTTGTTAGGCAAATTTGGTATAACTGTAAACATAACTTCTGACAAGCAGTGTCCGTTTAGGTTTAACGCAGAAGTGTTTACAAAAAATAACTATTTTATTTTGTAGATTTTCTTGCAGTGCAGTGGCGAAATACCCATAAAGAATTTTTCTTGGAGAAAAACCATCCTGGCATAACGTTGGCTTCCAATGTTCCATAGGTATTTTATACATGTCCTTAAGTAAAATAAAGGTTCTTATGTGCAATACACTGTGTTTTATTTATAAAATTAAAAGAAAATAATACTAAATTTGAATAAATAATATATTTGGCGACATAATTCCGGAAAAAGCAAAACTGCTCCGAAATTATTAAAAAATGTTGGGTCGTGATCGTGACCTTTGCAAAAATAGCGCCATATAGTATTTACACTTTCCAATCTAAACTTGTTTCATTTATCTATGTTATACTATTACAGTTATACCATGCTGGCAACTGTTACTTTTGGGTCGGCATTTACATGTGTGGAAGTAAATCGCATAGGGATCTTATTAAGTCGGAGTGAGAGAAATGCGACCGACCGACGCGACGCGCGACTGTGTGCTGTTGCGGCGTTGTCGATACGCCTTTCCCTATCAAGTAAAATAAAATCACGATCGCAAACCGCATATTTTTAAAAGACTTTTTTTCAAAAGATAACTAGATAAAATCATCTGACATGTTTCTGAGCATCTAAAATGGAATTATAAGCATATCGTTAGGGTGTCATTTTTTTATAACGAGAAAACGTCAGTAATTGCGATAATTTAAAAACTCAACTTTTTAACACATAACAGGCCATAACTCAAGAACCACTTTAGATATTGAAACTTTTTTTTTATTTTCAAGATCGGATATTTTACAATATGTTTACATAATAAAAATTCGATAAGGTTGTTTTTTCCATTCAAAAATTGTAAACAATCCATCCATTTACTTTTAGAGCATAGCAATTTTCAGCAATCGTGTAATTTTTTTATTGATTAAGATTTTCACATACTGTCTACAAAAAAAATACAGCAGAAATATTAACAAAGTTCTTGAAAAAACTACAATCTATTATTTCTAATAGATTTCGAGATATCGATTTTTGAATTCAGAGTTCTAATAGCGCGACCACTATCGAACACCCACTCAATTCCACTTAAAGTGTTTCTAGCTTGCACTTAAAAAAATTCAAGCTATAGGGAAAATTACAACGACTCGTTAATAAATAAACAAATCAAGTATTACGAGACGTAATTAAATCGTGAAGCTGAACGCATGACGTACACTTTTCCCTAGAACTTTAAGTACTGACAGAGGTATTGATTGGGTCGACCTGTCAACTGCGACAAATCTGCTATATCCCCTTCCACGTCTCTTAGCGATGTGCACAGTTTCTCGGTTTATTTCATACGTTTGGCAACGTGTTTACTGTCCTCTCTTTGTTCAGTACATTATAAACGCATTGTACTCTTCTTACATACGGAAATCTCGACCCAAGACTAACCTTTGCCAGCCCTTAGTATATCATCTATAAATGACATTTACTTGATTCCAGATTTGACCAAGACAGAGGCGACCGTGGCGATAGAGGAGACAGAGGTGAACGTGGTGATAGGGGTGATAGAAGCAATAATTGGAACTCCAACAGAGACGGGTTTAAAAGAGATGGCGGCTTCAAAAAGGATTTCAGAAAGTAAGTTTTTATTTTATTTATTTTATATCTATTACAAAAATATATTTACTCCAATTTTAATAAGTATATTCTGTTTAAATATTTTTCTAGGTTTCAGTCAAACAAATTTAAAAGGTAAACTATATCTTTGTTAGATGTGTTTCTTGCCACACTTGTTCTGAATGTCGAATGCTTACTAGTAAACATGGTGTCAGGGCATAATCTTAACGTTCACGATGTTTTTCTGTTGAACTGATTGCATCTTTGTTTTTATTTGTGCTTTTGTAGTAAAAGTTAAAGTATAAATTACGGTGTAAGAAGTAAAAGACAGAAGTATAAAAACTTTTAATCCTTAAAAAAAAATAAAGATAAATTTCTATACTGACAGTTATAAAATAAAAATTTTATGTTATACATCTTTTAAAAGTTTTTTTAATATTTCAAATGATTAAGAATTAATATTTTTTAATGCTTTGTTCAATTACCTACTTAGGAAATGCCAGTATACTATGTTATATACTAAAAAAATAATATCAGTTACGTCTACCAATACCTCCTAAAATACTAAGGCCACATCGTAAATTCGAATCGACTGTTTGTCATTGTTTTTGTAAGCAGATTTTTTTTGGTTTATTTTAAAACAATCGGAATAATTCTTTAATATACTTGCATTATAAGAGAAATTGAAAGTGTATTTACAATATTTTTATCCTAAAATAAACGTTGCTATCGGATTTTATTTTTCTAATAAATATTCCTTAAAATCAGTACATAACCTTCTTTTCGTCTTTATTGTGTGTATATAATTGTAATCATAAGTAATTTAATGTGATTTTTAACAGAAATATAATGTATTTATAACTGCTTATGTAGTTTTGTAGTGCCTCAGATATACTGTATTTATAAATGAACACAATTTATTCGTTTAACCAAGAATGTTTATTTTTGCATTTCTTAGGTCCATTTTCTAAAAAAAAATAGTTAAACAAGATTCAAAGGTAAGTAAAACTTTGGTTTCTATTTTTACATTAAAGCGTGGAAGAGAGATCTTATTACCCACAATCTTATTATTATCATAACATCTTTTTGTTTGTCTCTTTAAAGATAGTATTATTACCTTTAGGTGATTATATCAGCACAGTTGTTTATACCCTGTAGGTGAGAGAGCCTTGAGTCTGTATTTACACGTCGATACGACATTATACTTGCTCTTCACTTTTTGTTCAGTACATCTTATCATACATACAGTAATTGGGTGTCAATTTTCATGAAAATCGACACCCAAAAACCTATCTTGCCGACCGTGTATAACTTCCATCCAGGCTTATTGATTAAAAAAATTATGCTCACCAAAGTTTTTTATTATTTTCGTATAATTATATCAACCATTCCATGGGAGTAATTTTATTTTTATACTCAGGAGTCATGGCATCACGCATAAGACGATAGCTTAGTATTTTAGGAGTTATTGTATTATATCGTTTGTATTTTTTTGTATTTAGCTGCACTCTGTGTAGTCATATATGATATTATTTTATTTCTAGAACTATATTGTACAAATTGTATTTGCCACATCTAGAACATAATCGGTTTTGTGTTAGAATGTTTGGTAGATTTTTAGATAAACGTTTTTCAACTTATTTTTTAGTTATTATAAATAGACGCATTTGTTTGATTAAATTATTTTGGTTTTACTTAGCTCTTTAATTTTGAAATCGGCGGGAAATGAACTTAGGCAAGATAAAATATCTTTATTCTGACTTAAGTGACAAATTTTTACATTTTTTTTTTCAGAAAAAATAAGATGAAGAGAATGTTACTTAAATAAATTAACTCAGCAAGCTTCTTAATAATTAATTCTTCTTCTTTCTGCTAACTTAAATTAATGTTAATCACCCTGATCGTTATAAATAGAACACTATTAATATTTTCTTTTATATGCTATTCATATCCTACCTTTGAATGAGTATTGTTAAAAAATCTTTTTGTGACGAAATAGGAACTAAATAAAAAATTCTTCTATACATATTACCATAATTTCACAAATAAAAAAAAATGTTTGTTACGTATATTGATAATGTTCGCACATTTTATTTACATTTGGGCTTGGTATGGTTTTTCTAGGGATGGAAGTGAAATGAGTTCTAGCGGTTCTGAGAAAAGCTTCAAGAAAGGCCTAAGAACGAGTTCAAGAAACGACCATGGAGGCGGTAAATTTTACAACAGGTCTGAATAGAATATTGATATATTTTCAACTGAGAATGCTTGGTTTTTCTAATGTTATAGATCAAATAATTCGTTCGCCAACACCACAATGGGCGATGATACGTGGAGCGTGAGTGACGTCAGCACACCTATAGACGCGGCTCCATCAACAGCCACGTTTCAGAAAATCAACATGGTCGGTTCAGAGGCAGGAGTGATGATTACTTGGTTCCACAATCCCAGTCACTTTTATTGTCAACTGCAAACATCAGAGGTAAGATATTGTCTTTACATGCCTTTAACTGTGTCGTAAGGTAGGTTCATATACAGGCGAATTGCCAATTTCGCAAAATAAATCCGTCTTTAATTTACGTACTTCATATAACAACGAAATTCGCAACGAATTCTAGGGATATTTGTGTTGTTAAACACAAAATGGTCACCTGATTAACGAATTTTATTTATAGGTTTATTTTTATAAGTATATTTTTGTGCAATTGATGAAGCTCCTTATTTTTGGCGTAGAAGACAAACTATTGCTGTATATTTATTAATAGAAAAACAACAAAAGTAAAATACATAGAACAATGGAACATGAGAAATATTTTAAAAGTGAAAACGCAAGGAGCATATCACAAATGTATGCAATAAATGAGATTGAAGACGTGGCTGCAATAACCAGGCAGCTCCATTTTAACAAATTCTGCTATTTTGACGCTAGTGAGAAACAGCCGATAAATATTAGATTTTCTTGGTTGGTAATAAATTAATTGCCAACCAAATAAGCAAAATCAGAACAGTCCCACGTTGGGCGCCATAAATATGTAACGCTGTACAACAATAAAATGAAATTGAATAAACTAATTTTTTAGTTGTATCAATATTTGAAATTTTTTATAGAGTGAATTCAAGACACTAATGGAGGAAATCCAGCAAGCTTACAAAAATCGTAAGCCCGAGGCTTGTCCAGTTGGTGCTCCAATTGTAGGTCTATTTCCCGAAGATAACGTTTTGTACCGAGCCCAAGTTTTAGAAGTCTTTGGTGCGGAATATAAGGTATTCTATGTCGATTTTGGAAACGTATCAACTATAACGAAAGTATGGCCTATAGGTAAGTCATTCAACAACTCTTTAAAATATAGTTTTATTTACAAGCTTTATATTTTAGAGAAAAAGTTCATGAATTTACCCGCTCAAGCAATATGTTGCGGCCTTAACGGCATTGCCCCTGCCGGCGAAAACTGGCCAGATTGTACAGTGTTTGGTGACTATTTCAAGAAAGAGAGTTATACCGCTAGATTTTTAAAACCTGATGATATCAGGTAAGTGGTGTCCATACACTGTCTTTCTAAAAATATTAAATCTAAATTGTTATTTTCACTGCATTCTTTTAGCAGCATTTTGTAAGTAAATGATTATTATTATTAATATTTTTAGTTCAAAGTTGTAACTACCTTTTGTATTTTTACTGCTACTGTATAATTTGTCCAACAAGATGGTACATGCCAGTGAGAGTCATGTCTGTCATTTTATTTCAGAGATCAATTGTATTCTTTTTTGGATGTTATCTGTCATCTATATATCAGAGAGATTTACATAGACAAAGAAATAGATACAAGAAGATTTTCCTATAATTACTACCTTGAATTTAAGATACGACAGTGTATCAACAACAAGTTCTATCAACTTCTATTTATTAACCTAAATAGTAACTAAATAATTATAATAATAATAATAGCTCCCGTATTTAACGCCTTGGGAGTAACAAGGTACAGCTTGCCATACTAGAGCCGTTCGGTATACAAGGAAGGTAATGTGGCTAGCACTACGCTTCAACGGCCTATTATTACCTCAGGATTGTGAATCCCAAGTACTCATTTAAGGCTGAGTCGACCTAGGTACTCAAACTATTTTTATTTTAATACAAATAGTCGGCTGATGAAATGCCGGGTGTGGGAATCGAACCCACTACCTTCAGATTGGTAGACGAGAGCCTCTACCTCTACGCCACCGGGCACCTTGCTAAATAATTAAATTTTTAGAAATTTTTAATTTTAATGGCATTGAAGGATTATTAACTCTATAATTTTAAATTATTTTCATAAGTTGGACTGTTTTAAGAGACCAGGCAGTGATGGTACACTTGAAAGAATAAAAATTTAAATATAACATTTGCCTTTTTAAAAAGCAAATATAAAATTATTTACTTAGGACTTACATTGAACTATGGGACGGCGACCAAGAAATCACCAATTTGCTACTAAAAAACAATCTAGTAGTTTCATCCGAACCACAAGCAGAAGTCGACGTTGCCCTTCTACTTAACCAGCAATTGAGGGTCATGTTAAAGAGTGTGAACAATTTGAGTGACATTATTGTAGCACTCGAGTGTGGTTTAGCCCTCAATTGCAAAGCTCACAACCTTGATGAAGCCACTGAGACTTTCGAAAGTGTATTGAAGGACTGTATAGAGACCATATTGATCATATATGTTGATAATATTTTGGAGAACAACGTGTAAGTAATAAAATATCATTTTTTATTATTATTCATTCGTTTTTTTCAATTTCTTCTTTTATTTCGCCTAGTTTGGATGTTACTTTCTATGATAACACCGGAAATAAATTAGTTATTCTAAACCCTGACGATGGGGCTTTAGACATGGTTGAACCTTTGTGTCCTCTACTTATTCTGAGGTAATTCATATAATGAACATATTAGACAGTTTGACCAAATATATATATTTTTTAGTACCCATATTTACGGATATGTGTCACATGCAGACGAAACCTCAGTTTACATACAACCCAACATCTATGCTGATCAAATTTCAGTTCTCTTAGAAAGCTTATTCAACGCCTATGACAGTTCTACTCAACAATCTAGCATTATTCCTGAAGAAGGTTTGAAAGTTAAAAAGCCATAGACTTAAAATAAAATATAGACTACACTATTTACATCTAAACGCGGTCAAACAATCATTTTTGTACACATGTTTACTTCTGGGTACACTCGACCGCAGCCGACCGAATCTTCCTCGTCCAGCCTATGTTTTGTCACGTCTTTAATATTAATATTTTTTTTTCTTATAAAGTAGGTTTTAATATTCCATGATGTATTAAATAGTCCTTATACTACTAAATTATAAGTCGAATACTATATAAAAAGGATAAATCCTTTACAATATGGCAACACCGATGAGAGGCGGGGTCGCCTATTCGTTCTTCTATTATCTCGTAGTACGCGTCGCACGTGTGTAGTAAAGCATTGTTGCCACTACTTCCCTCTGGCTGTATTATCGCATTTTCTTAGTTTGTAGTCCTTAAATGTTTATTTTATTTACTTTTTCTGTTCAAGAACTATAAAATATGGTTCGCCAGTGCCAAATTTGCAAGAAATTTGACTTAAATAATCCATTTAAGTCTCGAAACGACTTTCGACCGGTAGGCAACTCTAAATTTACCAATTAGGAGTCAATGGCGTTGTAGAAAGGCTTTTCTAAGGCGTTTTTTTTCTAAACTTTTATTTAAAAAACGTCTCCTAAATCTTAATAAAATATAAATTATTATTACCCGGCTATGATACGGAGAGTTCAGGTTTACCGAGAAACAAAAGAAGTGTTGCATTTCTCGTCAGAATCGTCAGGGAACGACCGTTACGACGGAGACAACCTATCTATCGCTCGTGTCGCACTCGTTAGAACCTAAAACAATAACAAGGCTTGTGTGACCGCATTTTCCAGCTGTTTATGAATGAGATGCTCAGTCTATATTTTATTTTAAGTCTATGTAAAAAGCACAATTCATGATGTTTTTACGTGTTTATGTTTTAGGTTTAATATACGCCGTACATAGCTCTGACGGTAATTGGTATAGAGCCAGAGTTCTCAGTTTTGATGATGAAAAAGCAACCGTTATTTATTTGGATTATGGAAACACCGAGGACGTGACCTTTGACAATTTGAGAGAATTAAATAGCGAATTTAATGTTCCCAGCATAATGTGTATTCAGGTAAATCAAAATATGATATTTTTGTTTGATTATTTTATAAAGTTTGATATAATTTTAAGATTAAGGTTACATCTGGACAGCCATCAGACTTCCTAGAAAAGGACGTCATGGCTGAGATTTATTATGGCGAAGAAGGCTGGGAAGGTACAGTTGAGGCTAGCTTAGTCAATGAGGCAGAACAACCAGTTGAAGCAGTCGAAGAAAATACACTAGTTCACGAACAAGAAAATAATGAGGTTTTTGTAGCTGAAAACATTACTGAACCCAAAGATGCAGGTATGATAGATTTATATTTTTAATAACTTAGACTATAAAATTATATTCTTTCAGCTGAAGATACCAATGTCAATCAACCCGGTACTCCTGTCCTGATAAGCCATATTGATAGTCCAACAGACTTCTACGTACAGTTCACACAAACAGTTGATACATTGAACGAATTACAGCAGAATTTACAAGATACTATTGATGAAATGCCTGTATTGGAAAATGTATCAGTTGGTATCTTATGTGCTGCCCCATTCAGTCTTGACCATCAGTGGTATAGGTAAATTAATAAACATATTTTTGGATTATGCTGTTTTCGTGCCGTAAGAAAAAGACTACATAACTCAGCTCCATATTAATGCTGCATAAGTCTATTTCACCTGGATATCGATTGAACTGCGATTGCGCCAAACTCCGATTGATTGTTGTTTTAGTTCTATTTGGACTACTTTTTATTTGTGCGCGTAAAAGAATGATTTTATCACCGAAAGAATATGTGCCCTGCGCACGCAACTTACTGTTTGGAGCTTGGCGTTAACGAGTACTTACAACAAGCGTTAGGCGAAGAACCGTATTTTTAAATACGAGCAATGTTTCGTTCGAGCGATCGCTCGATTATTGCAATCGCTTGAAACTCGAGTAGGTACTCGATTATTAAAATTAATCGGTTTTTCCCATCACTAACACAAACCTCGTACCTGAGTGTTTTGTAGTTTCAATAACTGCTCTGACAAAAACTAATATCTACATATATAAAATGCTAATGTTTATCTGTGTCGTCTCTACTGAAGTAACGACTTGCTCTAGAAAGTTGCCTTTTTTACTAAAATTTTTACTAAAAAATAGATAATTGACTCTTCTAAAAACAATCGTTGCCGGACTTTTTGTTTTTCATTTAATTAAAAATAAAAAGTATTTGGGCGGATGCGCCAGACTTCAACTAGTACTTAAATATTATGACAAAGCCACGATTTTCATATTATTTCAATACCATCGACATAAACGATAACGGGTGAACTGCGTGAAATACTTAATACCCGACACTTCTAATTTCGCGCGGCGGTCGGATTTTTTAAAATGAACTGAAATGCAACCAAGCCTATAGAACTATACACAACTTTTCAAGTCCCTATTTATTTATAAATATCACTATTATTGCGACTAAAGATATTTTATTACAGGGCAGAAGTGTTGGATGCTGACGACGATATAACCACAGTTCGTTTCGTCGATTACGGAAATACCGATGTTATTAACAATAAAACCACCCAGCTGAAAACTTTGCCGCCCAATCTGTTGTCTCTAGCAGTCTACGCTACCCGTTGCAGCCTGAAACTGAAATCCGTCGACGAAGAATGGAGTCAAACTGCGTTGGAACTATTCG